GACTGAAGCAGTATAGGGTACACCCTGGATGGCATGGGACCCTGGAGCCTGACTGAAGCAGCATAGGGTACACCCTGGATGGGATGGGACCCTGGAGCCTGACTGAAGTAGTATAGGGTACACCCTGGATGGGATGGGACCCTGGAGCCTGACTGAAGCAGCATAGGGTACACCCTGGATGGGATACACACATTCATACAAGGGAAATTTCAGAGATGCCAGTTAGCACTGTACACCCTTGGACTGAAACGAGTAATACGGGGAGAACATGCAAAATCCACGCATACAGCAGATGTGGAATCAAACCCCAACCCTGGAGGTGTAAGGAGATAGTATTACCCAGTGAATCACCACACCGCCCCCCCCCACCGGCCACACACTGCTTTTTTAAAATAGGAAAACAAAGCATGGTTGGTGGATTGTTAGACTCATGGGAGTTTTACTCACACAAAAAAGTTCTGAGGGGAGAATGAAAAATGATTTGTTCAGAGAGATAACCAATCAGATCTTGGTCAGATGTCAGACGATTCAAATCAGATGTTTTGGTTTTGCCTGCTCTAGTTGCTTGGACCTGCCTCCTTTACAATCTGATTGGTTCTCTCTCTGAACCAATCACTTTTCAATCTTTGTGTATGTAAAACTCGCATGAGCAGATTGTCAGGCGCATCATACCTGCTGCAGCTGCTGCCGGAGCTGATCCGTGGTCAGGCCCAGCGAGCGCATGCCCCGGCTGCGACACGCCGCCTGCAGCTCGGACACGCTCATGGTGGCCACGCCCTCCTTGGCAATCATCTGTGGACACGTGTACACATGGGCACAGAGCGCCATGGATTACAAATGGCAAGGGCCTCTGATGAACTGGGGAACAAAACTGCTGGGTTAGCGCACAGCTTAACGCATGAACGTAGTCACCTACAGTCAGAACAATGCTAAGTTTAGCATCTCCCATAATAATGACCAAAAATATTTAACTAAATTCATGCATAATATATAAAAACCATGACAGATGACTTAGGTTATTAAAATTAAGGCAGTTGCCAAGTTTAATAGGAAAAGCATCAGTCTTTATTTTTTTAATGAATAACATTCATAAAGTGAAAATCTGCAGCGCAGTGAAGAGCAAATTACAGCAGTAATGCATGAGATAATGAGCTGCGCACACGGCTGGCACACGTACGCTCTCCATCTGGGGGGACGTGATCCTACAACCTACTGACCTCATCATCTGCCTTGATGGTGCGCAGCTGCATCATCATCTGGAAGCGCAACAAGTTGTTGGTTCCGATGGGTTGCAGCTCCAGTAACTTGCAGAGGGCCACCAGCTGAGGGCGCTCCAGGTGCTCCAGGGTCAGCTCGTCCTCGAAGAGCTTAGAGAACTGCACGATGTCTTTGGTGGTGGGCTGCTCACCCGTGTGGCGCACCTGCACATCAACAAATATCTCACCGGCTTGCCCATCTTAGCTAATACCCCAATCAGGCAGGATATGGGGTATCCCAAGGCTGTGGGAAGGAACCAAGCATGGACGAGGGGGGGGGGGGGGCAACACTGGGCAAATATCAACAAATCACTGAATTGAATTTTAACTTAGGAGCAAGAGTTGCATCCCAGGGTCGTGACGGTCAAGAGCCTATTCAATATGCTATGGGTACAAGTTAGGGAACAACCCAGGATGGGGCACAAACCCATTAGAGGGCACAGTCAGACACACATGCACACTCGCACATATGCACACTCGCACACTCGCACACATGCACACATGCACACCTATAGGCAATTTGGTAACTCCATAAACCTCAGCATGTTTTTGGACTGTGGGGAGAAACTGGATTACCTGGAGGAAACCCCACGATGACACGGGGAGATCATGCAAACTCCACACACATGGAGCCACAGCGGAGACATGCTACCCCTGCTCATACACCCCAGGCTCCTAAATATGGTCACATATGACTGGGAATCCAGACAGTCTAATAATAGAAGTGCAGCTGTGGTTAGATAAAGGAACAGTCCTTTGTTTGTGTGTCCTTTCGGCTCTCACAGCACGAGTCACTGACGTGGGGCCACAAACACACAACAGCATCCAGAGGTTGAGCAGCAAAGGTAAGCATGGCATATACCAATGGAGATTACAAAGGACTGTTCCACTGTGACTCCTAAGACGATCCCACTACTGTACCCTTGAGAAAGTCAATTAACCCCCAAAAAGCAGAACACTGAAAGCCGCACCTCCCCCCCCGCAGTAGCAGGGAAACAGGATGACCATTGGAGCTGACCTTCTGCACGTAGGTGGAGAACCTCTGTGTCTCAGCTCCAACCTGGGCCTTGTTCCTCCGGGCCATCTCAGCGATGGTCTCCTGCAGAAATTTGGCCAACTCCAGCTTAGCAGACAGAGACTTCTTCTGCTTCTCTTCCTGCAGGAAGGAGGAGAGGGACAGAGGCATGACTTAGACACACACAGTCATCATTCATACAGTGATATGCAGTTACGTTCAGACCACTGCAGGCGACAGTCATTCAGCAAGTAAGCTCCTAGTAGCTCATGTTAACGGTCCTGAATTCTGTGATGACAAACAAACTACTGAGACTCTAAATCCACTCTACATGTGAGATGGCTCTGTTACCATGGAATCAGGATGACTGCAGTGCTGGAGCTATATGCAAAGCCACAATGCAAAAGAAACAATCAGATATGAGGAGGCACAACTTTAAGCAAAGCTGTGGAGAGGAAAATAAGAACAATATGTTTCAAATTATTTGGTGCTGAATTTCCTTCAGGATTAATAAGGCATATATGTATGTATGTATGTATCATCTATCCATCCATCCATCCATCCATCCAATAATTGAATGAGTCACATTTAGCAAATAATTCAGCAGCGGTGCAACAAATATTGGAGACATCGGAAAGATTCTAATATATATATATGATTCGAATAGAAAAATTCATTCAAATAACTGAAATGTGCAATTCACATTCTGTCCACAATGTGGCACCAGTACAACTCCTCTGACAAGTAACACACACAAAACACAAGTAAACAGAAAAGATGGCAGGTATGAGTCGACAGTCCTCCTAGCACTGCTTCCAGAAGAAAATATTCAAATGTGAAAGTATTCATTAGTTGCAGCCCTAGTTTTTAGTTAGGGAGCTCTGTATGACACACACACACACACACAGACACACACAGACACACACAGACACACCTGGGCAACTTAGGTAAAACCTTAGGGTTTCTCTTAGATTGTTTCTGTATCCTGGTCCTCCACGCAGGAGTCTGAGAGGCAGTGATGTAATGGACCTGTGATCAGTGTGGACTCCCCTCCCAGTCTGGCATGCATGTGAACCACAGATTTTGAGATCACAAGAAAAATAAGACAAAGATAATGATGGATGTGCCCTATGGACTTCTGTACAATGCAGAGTTGAAGTGAAAAGATACAGACAAAGCAGTTGTGATTTCACATGTACAGGACATGTTAAAAATGTAGAGGTTCCTTGGTTTGAGTTCTTTACGTTCTTTAAGTAATGAATCGAAAGCAAAGCTAGTTGTCTCTCCTTTTATTTTGCTGATCAGAAAAATAATCCAATCTGCAACTCAAAAACTGTGATATGATCTGAACCATGAGTTTTGGGATCCGATGTACTCCTGCAGATTGTCTCGAAGTCAAGCCACGCTCTTCTTGATTTAAAGGATCTGGGCCTGAACAGTCAAAAGGTTCATTGAAATTAAAGATCACTGTCACTCCCAAGTACTGAACTAAGTAAACGATGCAAGCCCCCCCACCCTAAAGGGCATGACAAGAGCCTGCAGTACCAGTCACTCTGTTATCAGTCCACAGAGAACACGGAGCACATATTTAGCTATTTTTTCCCCGGTCAAGCATAAACATATTTAGATAGCAACAAACAAAGACCTATTTTAAAAACAATCTAATTCCAAACAAGAGTCAGCATAGATCTTTTCTAAAGGACAAGACACAGCCTTGTAATCAGGAACAGCCATCACACTGAATGCTAATGGCCTGTAAGGATGCTTTAGTGTTGCACAGTATTCAGATACTGAAATAGTACTGAGATATCTTGTCATTTCAGGTGCCAAAAGTATGGTCCTTCAAGAAGGTGCCAAAGGTATGGTCCTTCAAGAAGGTGCCAAAGGTATGGTACTTCAAGAAGGTGCCAAAGGTATGGTACTTCAAGAAGGTGCCAAAGGTATGGTACTTCAAGAAGGTGC